TTGGAAGGATTCATTTGCCAAATGGCACCCTATTCCTTTGTAAGATTGTATATATTGTTTTTAAACAATACAAGACATACATACACAAACAACGGCACACAAACATCAACGACATTACACCTGCCCAGACCCACCTGCTCACACCCCCATCTCCAGCGCCCGCATCACTCTCCACCACATGGCATCAAGCTGTACCATTTTGTTTCTCTCTGTCGCCCACGCACTTTCAACATTTAGATAATAAAGCATTTGACCTTTCCATTGTGTTAACAAAAGAGGAATAGTTGACTTCCAGTTTTTAAGTATACGTTTTTTCAAGATGATTGACGAGAAAGGTATCGTCCAGCCCATCGGGTATCTCACTGCACCCTCATATGCCATGTCTTGAAATATGCAGACAGACGCTGGCTTCGTCCCAAATGACGCAACCTATTCCCTATGGGCCCTGGTCAAAAGTAGTGGACATTAAAGGGAATAGAGTGCTATTTGGGACGAAGCTAGTGTCTTCATAATTGTAGTTAGTCCTAAGAGTCCTAATCCCTTTGCTCTCTATGTGTTGTATGTCACTGCCCACTGGGCAAAAACTGGTTGAATCAACATTGTTTCCACGTCATTTCAACCCAAGAAATCTATGTGATGACGTTGAATCAATATGGAAGTGTAATTGAATCAATCAGTCATCAACGTAAGGGCATTTCGTCTTTTTTCCACCCAACTTTTAACCTAAGTCTGATGACATGGTGAGATGTTATGTTGATTTCACGTCGCAACAGTGGAGCTAAAGGAGGACGGGCTCATTGTAATGGCTGGAATAGAATCAATGGAACGGAGTCAAACGTGGTTTCCATATGTTTAATGTGTTTGATACCGTTCCATTTACTCCATTCTAGCCATTACAATGAGCCCTTCCTCCTATAGCTTCTCCCACCAGCCTCCACTGGTTGACAACCAAATGTAAATCAAAACTAGACGTTGAACTGATGTCTGTGCCCAGTGTGAGACAATTAACCCCCACTGCTAAAGTACGTAACAAACATTCCTCTGAATTACTACTAGTATTCCTGCCAATGAGAAATTGAGAAATGTTATTGAGGGGAATTTAGGTAGACATTCCATAGCCAACAGTGTTAAGATTGTGACAGAGCCGGAATGGGCCAGGAATTGGGCCAGACATTTCTAACACAGCCCCCTGCTCAGGGCCCATGTTATTAGACAAATTACAGATGTAGGATTTTAATTTGAGCCAGTTTGCTACAGAAGGAAAATAATCCTGCAGCAACAGGAAACTGTGAATTATTATGTGGATTATTAATTAATGGACATTGTTTTGTAGGGGTTGATAAAAAATGTATTAGGGCAAATCAAGTCTGACATTTTAAAGTGGAAATTACAAACCTTAGAAGCTTTTTAAAACCTTGAATACACTACAAGTTTGCATTTCCTGATGTGCAGGAAAATTCTCACCAACAAAAGAGTGATCAAATTAAAATCCTACATCTATATGACAGTTTTTTACAAAGAAATCCAACATAGACAGCCCATCTGGCATTTGCCCAAACTGCCCTTTGACCAGCCGACCCCTGGATTGTGAAATCCCCAACATCAGCAATACATTACCATTTTGGGAACGATCCTTTAGAACACACATTGTCCAACAGTCAGCTAAGGTGAGTAATCGTGTGTTCTTTTGGGGGAAATGGTGTGTTGCCATAGGAATTTGGTGGGTTGTCAGAGAACCAGGAAGCACCTGTGTGTTGCACAGGGACCTGTCTATGTGGTGGCCATTGTGTGGGAATCTTTTTATAAACCATAATGATGGAAGTATCTATAGTTCTTCTTTAAAGAGGAAGTCACTGGATGCGTAGGCTACACATACCACCACTGTGTATGTAAGTGTGTGAGCGTGCGTGTGTGTGTGTATGTGTGTGTGTGTGTGTGTGTGTGCGTGTGCGTGTATGCATGCATGTGTGTGTGTGTGTGGGGCTATATTCTTTCAGGAAGTCACTTGATGCGTAAGGCTACCACTCCAGAGAGAGAAGTGATTGTTTATTATACGGTAAATAAATAAACAGCCGTAGCTTGAACAAATTCAGAGGAAGAGAGACCATGTGAGACAAATGATGTGGATACATTGATTAGATGCACTCTGACATGGAAGTCTCAACCAAGTTACCTAGAAACCCAGTGCATTTTCATGGAAAACTGTATGTCGGTACGTTGAAATGTCATTGAGCCTGTTTGGAGTGACAATGCGCCATGCAGGCAAGCATAATCAAACAAAGCCCAAGTGTTAAAGAAAACAAAATACTATTTGAACCAACGTCTGCTTCCTGTATGTCCTGACATATGTGTTGTACATAAGTGAAGTATGTCCTGTGTTTTGGATTTTGTGTATGTGTGTTCCAGGAGATGCAGTATGTTTCCAGAAAAATGTCAGCTAAAGGGACAATAAAGCATTCAATCAATTACAACTAGGCCTACACAGTCCTTATCACTGACATACTGTCTGTAGCTTCAGTACAGTACATTTAGTGTATCAGTCAATCACAAAATACCTCATAGTAAGAAGGATTAAGGCCTGCATGGTCTGCAGACAACATCCTAAACATATTAGCTACAGCACTGCACTGAGGCATGAATGAAACCAAGGCAATCCATATTAGCTACAGCACTGCACTGAGGCATGGGTGGGTGGGTGGGTGGGTTGCGTGGGTGTGAGGGGGCGTGCGTGTGTGTGTGTGTGCCTGTGTGTCGAAGAGAAACGGATGGTGGATGGTGTGAGTGCTTCCCACTCCTCAGTAAGCGATGTCACGGCCCCAGATTAAGCAAAGGGACCATATGGCAAATACTGCCTTACTGCCTGCTGGTAGCTCAGTTGGTAGAGCATGGTGCTTGCAACGCCAGGGTTGTGGGTTCATTTCCCACGGGGGGCCAGTATGAAAATGTATGCACTCACTAACTGTAAGTAGCTCTGGATAAGAGCGTCTGCTAAATGACTCAAATGTAAATGTCTGTTCTGTTACTAATACTGCCTGCTGTCTGTTCTGCTACTAATACTGCCTTGCTGTCTGTTCTGCTACTAATACTGCCTTGCTGTCTGTTCTGCTACTAATAATGCCAGCTGTCTGTTCTGCTACTAATACTGCCTGCTGTCTGTTCTGCTACTAATACTGCCTGCTGTCTGTTCTGCTACTAATACTGCCTGCTGTCTGTTCTGCTACTAATACGCCTTGCTGCTGTCTGTTCTGCTACTAATACGCTATGCCTGCTGTCTGTTCTGCTACTAATACTGCCTGCTGTCTGTTTTGCTACTAATACTGCCTTACTGCTGCTGTCTGTTCTGCTAATAATACTGCCTGCTGTCTGTTCTGCTACTAATACTGCCTTACTGCCTGCTGTCTGTTCTGCTACTAATACTGCCTGCTGTCTGTTCTGCTACTAATACTGTCTGCTGTCTGTTCTGTTATTAATACTGCCTTACTGCCTGCTGTCTGTTCTGCTACTAATATGCTCTGCTGTATGTTTGCTACTAATACTGCCTGACTGTCTGTTTGTTGCTACTAATACTGTCTGCTGTCTGTTCTGCTACTAATACTTCCTTACTGCCTGCTGTCTGTTCTGCTACTAATACTGTTGCTGTCTGTTCTGCTACTAATACTGCCTGCTCTCTGTTCTGCTACTAATACTGCCTGCTGTCTGTTCTGCTACTAATACTGTCTGCTGTCTGTTCTGCTACTAATCCCCTGGCATCCACCTTCTTTCCTTCCTGTCATCCTGGCACCATGGATCCCTATTTCACTCACGTCAAGCTCACGTTTTGGACTAGCTAAGGACTAGCTAAGGAGCAGCTAAGGACTAGCTATGGAGCAGCTAAGGACTAGCTATGGAGCAGAGAAGATTTACGTTTTTTTTCTCTCTCTTTCTTTCTCTGTGTGTCTCTGTGTGTGTGTGTGTGTGTGTGTGTGTGTGTGTGTGTCTGACAGAGTGAAAGATAGACAGTCTACAAAGGAAGAGAGTAATCGAGAGAGTAAAGGAGAGAGAGACTCTCACTGTCTTGCTTATCTTGTAGCATTATTCAAAGAAAATCACATCTATCCATTCACATTCTAAGATAATATGCCATTTAGCAGACGCTTTTATCCAAAGCGACTTACAGTCATGCGTGCATATATTTTTGTGTATGGGTGGTCCCGGGGATCGAACCCACTACCTTGGCGTTACAAGCGCCGTGCTCTACCAGCTGAGCTACAGAGGACCACGTAAGACCTAAGACACATACACAATGGCACAGTCTATCTAACTGTGGTGTATAGCCTAACATACAGTATTGCATGAGTGTAGTAGCATGACATTTAAGCCCAATTAGCCCATAATGAGATTACAACCTGCAGATACTGGCTAAAACAACCGGCTAAACATGGAATAACAGACAGAAGTTTACCTTGCTTTAGTCAATAGGCTACATAGTCCAATAGAGTCCTCTCTCTTTCTCGGACTATTCTGTCAATCATTGATTTAGTTTCCTGATTCATAGACCTATAGGCTATTAGTGGGCTGATGGTGGTGAGGTCAGGTGTATAGAGTATAGAAATCGAATCTAAATGATATTTATATTGTATAGATAGTCTACCTTTAGTCTCTATTGGGGCAGGAGGCATTTGAGATATTGTTAGTTTATGATAACAGGACAATATTCTAATGTCTACTCAAATACGAGAGGTATTCATAGTATTTCCTTGAAGAATGCTGTTTTTATGGTTCCTAGAATGGGCAGTATAAACATGAGAACGAAACGTTTGGATAGCTATGAGTAATAGTTGATTCAAGCTGAGAGTATCAATTCACTTCACCCTCGAGAGGGCGGGGTTGGAACGTTAGAACCTAGTCAACACTCTGGTGTGGGCAGGCTATGTTTTAATCATACTTGTCGGTGTCCATATATGGTTCGTGATGTCATGAGCCGGAGGTTCCGTTCCTATAAAACCGATCCGACGGAATCCCCTTGAAGAAAATCTAAGCAACTACGTGGTTCAGTAGGGCACGTTCACTTTACTCGTCTCAGACCGCCCGTATACAGTAATTGCTTATAAAATAAGACACACTTTTAGAGGCAAACATGAAAGTCTCAAGCATAGATTGCCGTCGCCTCAAGAAGATTATCAGGAAGGAAAGTGGAACCTCTCTCATTGTGGATTGTCGACCTTATTTTTCGTTCTCGAACTCTAATATCAAAGGCTCTGTCAATGCCAACCTGAACTCGGTTGTTGTCCGGAGATCCAGAGGAGGGCCGGTACCTCTTCAGTTTGTCATCCCGGATGAGAAAGCCCTGTTACGGCTGCGAGAGGGGAGCATATCGGCAGTGGTTGTTCTGGATGACCGGGCTCCGCACTGGCAGAAACTGAAAAAGGACAGTATCGCACAGATAGTGATTAATACACTCAATAATCTGGCGAGTGGGGCAAACATCTGTTTTCTAAAAGGTGAGAATTGTTACAAAATTATGAAATTATTGGACTATAAAGCTCAAAATCCATTATAAACTTTTTCAGTAAGTGCCCTGGGCTAATTCACTGTATGAAGTCACTTGAACACAATGGCTAGGCTAATAAATTATGCTATATTAGAAAAATCACTCATTATAAAAACTATATTTCAGAGATAAAAACATGAAATGGTTGACATTCAATATGCCTTATAACATCCTCCCTTTTTGTTTAGAAAACGATGCATGTGTGACCCATATCCCCATATCTTCAAAGCAACATTATTATTTTTTAAAGGCCTTGGTATAGTTTTCCATGGAATGACCTACGAAGCAAAATCATTGTTCTATTTGACCGTGTTGTAGCAACCCTCCCATAGGAGCAATACATTTCTCAGGTCGATAGAGATAAATGTCCTTTGTGCGTCAAAGGAGTGCAGATGAGTCAGTGCGCGAAAGGCTTGTGAGAGCTCGAGAACATCATGACTGGTTGTTCTGAGAATGTCCCATGTGTGAATGTTCACAATGAAACCATACATTTTTATAATTCGTTTCGAACATTTATACCTCTTCCTTTCGACTATGTGTCAGAACCATTCATTTAAAGTCTGGCAGATTATCACCTTGTCCTCATAGACCTAACTGGATTATTTTAATTGAAATGCAGATTAATTACGATGTTATAATATGGTGATATGAGGTTATAATCCGTTATAAACACATAGTTTTCACCGCTTGGTATGAGGCCTAAATCTAGTTGGCAAATGCTGACGTTCATGACGCACAAATAAACATTTTATCATTATGCATGTCAGACAAATCTGTTTTGGGTGTATAATTCCTTTTTAAATTGTCCCCGATGGAATACATTAAATTGTAGGCTATTGAATTTCATTCAAATATTAAATGTATTTTGTATTGTTCTGTGTATTTACCAGGGGGGTTTGAGAATTTCCATGGCCAGTACCCTGAACTTTGCACTGAGGTCGTGAAGCCTGTCGGCGTCGACCAGAACAACGGAACCGAAACTGGTAAATTAAGGCCGAGTATCACCCTATGCTGTGAGAAACCGGGCTCCAACCTCAAACCAGATTACGATCAGGTATGGAAACGAAAACGACTTCCTTTTTTTGTCTGCTGCCTATTCTTTCAGGGTTAGGCGGCTAGCCACTTCCCCTAGGTTGGGTTGGGGTTTAGGGTTGAGGCGGAGGCTGCAGGGTTTTTGACTGAGTGGAACATCCCTGTTAGATAACAATGACTGTTCTCTGTTAGGTTTAGTCATACCGTCTTCTTGGCAATTCAAAATAGATTTATATAGCCTAATGTACTGTATGTTCAGAGATATTTGTGGACTTGATAGAGCACATTTAGTTTCATTCAAGTAAAGACAGAATAAAATCTATTAGATTTATTTGAACACTCATAGGAAAAACAAAAGACCCATATTGTCTCGCTGTCCTTAACCGTGCAGCTGTACATTCATAATGATTATATTTTGTCTATGGAGTCAGATATGTTACTGACCATTCTCAAAACAGTGGCCTCGATCATTCAACATTCTCACCAACACGCTTGATATTAGCTTTGACCTTCACTGCATCCCAGTCATCAAGAGAAGATGGCCACTAGTCAGAGACCCCCAGCTTGCATCAAAGTCCTTTACAACCTTTTCATCCCTGACCTTTTCCCTACCTCTTACACCATCATGATCGGCTAACACAATCTGTTTACAGTACAGAAAATGTACTATTGCGTCTTGCAACGTACATACCTAGGATCTTAATTTGATCACTCTGTTGCAGAAGAACTTTCCTGCAATGCAGGAAATGTAAAACTTGTAGTGTATTTCAGGTTTAAAAAGGCTTCTGAAGTTTGTAATTTCCACTTTGAAATTTCACACTTGATTTTCCCTTACGAAAATGTATCAAAACAAAAATGTCCATTTATAATAATCCACATAATAATTCACATTTCCTGTTGCTGCAGGATTATTTTCCTGCTGTAGAAAACTGGCACAAATTAAGATCCTACATCTGTATTTAAACTCTACTCTATCTCTGCCCCATTGTTGTGTCTCCAGGGAAACCCTGTGTTTCATGTACTGTATCTCTGCCACACTCTGTCACTACCGCTCACGGTTGTAATATCACTTTGTTGCGTCTCCCCTCTATCTTGGCTCACACACTGCGGTTCTTATGTCTAATATCCCCCCCCCTTTGTTGTCTCCCCTCTCTCTTCAGGGCAAGCCGGTGGAGATCCTTCCATTCCTGTACCTGGGCAGTGCCTACCATGCCTCCAGGCAGGACTATCTGAGTGACCTTGGGGTCACGGCCCTGCTGAACGTCTCCAGGAGGGACACCAGGCCCTCCAAGGGCAACTACGACTACAAGTGGATCCCCGTGGAGGACAACGTCACAGCAGATATCAGCTCGCATTTCCACGAGGCCTTCCAGTTCATTGGTGAGTGTCGTGGTCTGTGCATTTGTCTCTTTTTTTCCTCGATTTCTTCTCTGCTCTTTTCTTCTTCTCTCATGGAAAAGATGTGATTCCAAGTCCATTAACAGAGGGGATGGAGCAACTCAATTAAAATAGTTATTGGCTTCACTCCTCCTCACCCACTGCCAATCTAAAAGGAGGACGGGCAACAACCTCTCACTAATCTTTTAGCCTCATCTGCCTGCCTGCCCTCTCTCTCTCTCTCTCTCTCTCTCTCTCTCTCTCTCTCTCTCTCTCTCTCTCTCTCTCTCTCTCTCTCTCTCTCTCTCTCATCCCCAGATTGCCTTCATTCAGAGAACAGCTTCTGTGTGCTCCCTCCCCCTCTCCTCACTCCCTCCCTCCACCTCTCTCTCATCCTCCCCCCTTTTAAGTTTAAAAATATATTCTCTGCAGTGCCGTCATTGCCTCCCGGCTCACAGTTAATCTCACTAGTGGCTTATTGCGGGTTATTACCGGGTGTGGTCAGTTCACTCAGTCAGTTAGTCAGTGTGACAAATGTTGTTGGCTAGCCCTACTCACTAATGGTGCGTGGAGGGTTTTTGAAGGAGGGAGGCTGTGTTCACAGACACAAAGGTACACAAAGGTTGTTTAGTTATTGTTTATCTGGGTCATATTCATTAGGGCAAACCGTAGCGAAACGTCTCGCAATAGAAAATGAAAACAAGCATTTAGTGGTCAGGTTCAGGGAGTCACTCCCTCCCTGTTTGTCATTTTTCTTCTGTTTGGTACCAAATGAACTCAACCATGGTGCGTATGTTCAGAGACAGAGTCCCGAGGGAACAGAGAGTGAATGTGTGATAGAAAGAGGCTTGAAGTGTTGGATAATAGCGCTCACAAAGATGTTGAGCAGCCTGCATTTCTATTTATAAACGTTATATCCAGGCATGGGCGAGGACGAGCTTGAATCTCATTCTCACCCACCATTGAGGCCTCACCTGACCTGTATCGGTCTTGGTGTTGCTGTTGTTGTTCTTTGTTTTAAGCCCCCACATTTAGGCGTCTTTGTCTAATGCCTGTAAGCATTACGTAAGACAAAGAGGTGTCCTTCTCAGCCCAGGGCTGAATCTTAACACAGGATGCCTCCTTGAAAAAACATGATCTTTAAATCAAATCAAATCAAATTGTATTTATCACATGCGCCAAATACAACTGGTGTAGACTTTACAGTGAAATGCTTGCTTACGAAGATTTCCCAACGATGCAGAGTTTGAAAAATAATTATACAAAATTATATAGTAACTAACACAAGAGGAATAAGAGAAAATAAAATACACAAGAATGGAGCTATATACAGGGAGTGTTCAGATATTCACTAACTGCATCCAAATCTAAAACAATAGGCTTGTTTCTCTTTATGAAGAAGACACATCCCAATTCCCAATTCCCCAAACCTCTGAATGAATGCAATGTGGTGGAGGTAGAATATTATACTGTCGACCTACTGTCAACCATTTAGCTGGAAATAGAGGATATCAACCTCTTGGAAAAAAACAGCAGTCAAGAACATCTTTAGCTGCCCTATTCCCTATATAGTGCACTACATTTAACCAGAGCCATATCGGTCCCAGTCAAAAGTAGTGCACTATGTAGGGAATAGGGTGCCATTAGCCAGAGGATGGGTCATTAAAACACCCACAGGCTCTCTAGCTTCCTCTTAGACAGCCTCCCAGCTCTCCAGATGGGAGCAGCTTCATCATTCATTCATTTGGTTTTCATAGGATCGGAGCTGTCAGAAACCATCGCTGGCTGTTCCCCCCTGGGGCTCATACATGTGTGTGTGTGACACAGATAGAGAGAATCTAGGTTTGTGTGTGCACGTGTGTGTGCCAGATAGAGTGTGTAGGAGAATAAGTTCCCTCCTCTCCCAGCCGGGGTGAACTTAGTGTAACACTGCTCAGCTCCCCCACAGGCACGTGGGAGAGAGAGAGACACGGTCTCGTGTGCAGCTGTGCAGGGTGAGTCAGTGGTGGGCACAGTGTGTGTGTGTCTAATCGGAGAGTGGTGACTGTGTGGCAGCAGGGCTCTTATAGGGTCTGTGTGGGCGAGAAGAGAGGAAGAGCGAAGGGGTGGGGAGGCAGGTGATGATTACACACTGAAGAATGGGATTCAATCTCTGCGTTCACACACTAAAATAGCTCTGAGAGCACTCGTTCCCTGTGAGAATTTAGCCAGAGTGGTTCTATTCTAGGATGCAGCTATCCGTTTCTATTCAATTCTTCTATATTTGTGTTACACAGTGTAAGTGGCTACATGGCCATACTACATTTCCATACTACATTTCTGACCAAATGTGACAATGTATTATAATAGCTCATGTTTATCATATCATTAACGTAAATGTTACCGTTTTGTCTCCTCTCCAGATGGTGTAAAGCAGACAGGGGGTAGAGTCTTGGTGCACTGCGAGGCAGGCATCTCCCGCTCCCCGACCATCTGTCTGGCCTACCTCATGAGTACCAAGCGGCTGCAGCTCGAAGAGGCATTTGACATCATCAAACAGCGCCGCTCCGTCATCTCACCCAACTTCAGCTTCATGGGCCAGCTGCTGCAGTTTGAGTCTGAGGTCCTGTCTTCGACACCCATTACCGCGCCGACGACCCCAGAACCCGCCACCGAACCCGCCACACCCTGTTGCATCGGTAAAGAGACAGTCTCCTTCTTTGGGAGTTCGAAAGAGTTCACATTCAACAACAATAACTTTGACTTTGAACCTTCCACAGTTTTCGCCCCCCTCCCTACCTCCTTCCTCACCCCCATGCCTCTTCAGACTCCTCCACTCCGCCAGTTCAAATTGAGCCCTATAACTGCACTGCCTTAAAATGTGACTGCTTAGTAGGTCTCAGATTACTTGAAAAATAACAAAATACAAATAAAATGCTCTATTTGTCTGGTGCTGGCACAAGCCAGTAATGTGGAATGGCTGGCTATACAGAAACAAAGACTGAGAGAAGATATTGCGTTGATCGTCTATATGGGATTTTTCATTAATGTTGGGAAAAGTCCCTGAAATTCAGACTACAGTCTTTGTTTGAACTTTAAACTGCAGCGTGAAACCACAAAGACTACTGCAATAAATGCCTTGGGTTGATAATGTGATGTTTTGCCTAATCACAAGCCGTATCAAGGCATTCTAACCTAATTTATTTGATACATCTTGCCTGTTTGTCCATCCGATTGTCTGTGTTTTTTCTAAATACAAATGTGGATGCCAATAAATGTTTCCACCAAAAAGTCCCTTTGTGTTCATGTTCTCTTTTTCTCAAATATGAACCTTATAATAATCAAATTGTCATATATATGAGGCCCTATAAAGCCATGTTATATAGATAAGACAGGGCAACATCAGATGAGGCTGGTGAGAGGAGTTATAGGAGGACAGGCTCATTGTAAAGGCTGGAATGGAATCAATGGAACGGTATCAAACATATGGAAACCACGTTTGACTCCGTTCCATTAATTCCATTCCAGCCATTACAATGAGCCTGTCCTCCTATAGCTCCTCCCACCAGCCTCCACAGGGCAACATGTGCTACTACTTACGACTATTAAGTCCTCTTAGTCCCGAGTGGGACATATAGGCCACAACAATCTTCTTCTTTGGCCACAGCAGCATGCACAACACATCAAATATTGCTAATCAATAAACCATCACAATCATTATTTGAACCATATTTTAAACGCTGTAACACAGAATGGAGCCGGAGGAGATGGCTTCCGTTTTTACGGCCCTCTAACCAATTGTACTATTATGTGTGTTTTTTTGCATTATTTGTAATTTATTCTGTACATAATGTTTCTGCCACTGTCTCTGATGACCTAAAAGATATTCTGGATATCAGGACAGCGATTACTCACCTCGTATTGGACAAAGATTTTTTCTTCAACGAATCGGACGCAAAGGATATTCTACAGACACCTGACAAGCCCCAAACCCCGTCATTCGCATGAGAAAGAGACGGAGATATCGTGGACGTAGGTCGGGGTGCCTTGTAAGGATCCGACGGCGAGCGAGTAAACTGCCTCTTCCATCAATCCTATTAGCCAATGTTCAATCATTTGAAAATAAATTGGATGACCTAAGATTAAGGTTATCCTACCAACGGGACATTAAAAACTGTAATATCTTATGTTTCACCGAGTCGTGGCTGAACGACGACATGGATAACATACAGCTGGCGGGATATACGCTACATCGGCAGGATAGAACGGCTGACTCCGGTAAGACAAGGGGTGGCGGTCTGTGTATATTTGTAAACAACAGCTGGTGCATAAAATCTAATACTAAGGAAGTCTCAAGGTTTTGCTCGGCTGAGGTAGAGTATCTCATGATAAGCTGTAGACCACACTATTTACCAATATTTTTCGTGGCTGTCTATTTACCACCACAAACCGATGCTGGCACTAAGATTGCACTCAATGAGCTATATAAGGCCATAAGCAAACAGGAAAACGCTCATCCAGAGGCAGCACTCCTAGCGGCCGGGGACTTTAATGCAGGGAAATGTAAATCTGTTCTACCTAATTTCTACCAGCATGTTAAATGTGCAACCAGAGGAAAATAAATCTAGACCACCTTTACTCCACACACAGAGACGCGTACAAAGCTCTCCCTCGCCCTCCATTTGGCAAATCTGACCATAACTCTATCCTCCTGATTCCTGCTTATAAGAAAAACTAAAGCAGGAAGCACCAGTGACTCGGTTAATAAGGAAGTTGTCAGATGATGCTAAGCTACAGGACTGTTTTGCTAGCACAGACTGGAATATGTTCCGGGATTCTTCCAATAGGATTGAGGAGTACACCACATCAGTCACTGGCTTCATCAATAAGTGCATTGATGATGTCGTCCCCACAGTGACTGTACGTACATACCCCAACCAGAAGCCATGGATTACAGGCAACATCCGCACTGAGCTAAAGGGTAGAGCTGCCGCTTTCATGGAGCGGGACTCTAACTCGGACGCTTATAAGAAATCCCGCTATGCCCTCCGACGAACCATCAAACAGGCAAAGAGAGTCAATACAGGACTAAGATTGAATCGTACTACACCGGCTCCGACGCTCGTCGGATGTGGCAGGGCTTGCAAACTATTACAGACTACAAAGGGAAGCACAGCCATGAGCTGCCCAGTGACACAAGCCTACCAGACGAGCTAAATCACTTCTATGCTCACTTCGAGGCAAGCAACACTGAAGCATGCATGAGAGCATCAGCTGTTCCGGATGACTATGTGATCACACTCTCCGTAGCCGATGTGAGTAAGACTTTTAAGCAGGTCAACATTCACAAGGCTGCAGGGCCAGACGGATTACCAGGACATGTACTCTGAGCATGCACTGACCAACTGGCAAGTGTCTTCACTGACATTTTCAACATGTCCCTGACTGAGACTGTAATACCAACATGTTTCAAGCAGACCACCATAGTCCCTGTGCCCAATAACACTAAGATAACCTGCCTAAATGACTACCGACCCGTAGCACTAACGTCTGTAGCCATGAAGTGCTTTGAAAGTCTGGTCATGGCTCACATCAACACCATTATCCCAGAAACCCTAGACCCACTCCAATTTGCATACCGCCCCAACAGATCCACAGATTATGCAATCTCTATTGCACTCCACACTGCCCTTTCCCACTTGGACAAGAGGAACACCTACGTGAGAATGCTATTCATTGACTGCAGCTCAGCGTTCAACACCATAGTGCCCTCAAAGCTCATCACTAAGCTAAGGAACCTGGGACTAAACACCTCCCTCTGCAACTGGATCCTGGACTTCCTGATGGGCCGCCCTCAGGTAGTAAGGGTAGGTAACAAAACATTTGCTACGCTGATCCTCAACACAGGGGCCCCTCAGGGGTTGCGTGCTCAGTCTCCTCCTGTATTCCCTGTTCACCCATGACTGCATGGCCAGGCACGACTCCAACACCATCATTAAGTTTGCCGACGACACAACAGTGGTAGGCCTGATCACCGACAACGATGAGACAGCCTATAGGGAGGAGGTCAGAGACCTGGCCGTGTGGTGCCAGGATAACAACCTCTCCTTCAACGTGATCAAGACAAAGGAGATGATTGTGGACTACAGGAAAAAGAAGAGGACTGAGCACGCCCCCATTCTCATCGACGGGTCTGTAGTGGAACAGGTTGAGAGCTTCAAGTTCCTTGGTGTCCACATGACCAACAAACTATCATGGTCCAAACACACCATGAAAGTCGTGAAGAAGGCACGACAAAGCCTATTCCCCCTCAGGAGACTCAAAAGATTTGGCATGGGTCCTCAGATCCTCAAAAAGTTATACAGGTGCACCATCGAGAGGCCAGGTCGCAGTTGTAAATGAGAACTTGTTCTCAACTGGCTTACCTGGTTAAATAAAGGTGAAATAAATAAATAAATAAAATAAAATCCTGACTGGTTGCATCACCGCCTGGTATGGCAACTGCTCGGCCTCCGACTGCAAGGCACTACAGAGGGTAGTGTGTACGGCCCATTACATCATTGGGGCCAAGCTTCCTGCCATCCAGGACCTCTATACCAGGCTGTGTCAGAGGAAGGCCCTAAAAATTGTCAAAGACTCCAGCCACCCTTGTCATAGACTGTTCTCTCTGCTACCGCACGGCATGTGGTACCGGAGTGCCAAGTCTAGGTTCAAAAGGCTTCTTAACAGCTTCTACCCCCAAGCCATAAGACTCCTGAACAGCTAATCATGGCTACCCAGACTATTTGCATTGTCCCCCCCACCTCACCCCACCCCCTTTTTACTCTGCTGCTACTCTGTTTATTATCTATGCATAGTCACTTTAACTCTACCCATATGTACATATTACCTCAATTACCTCGACTAACCGGTGCCCTCACACATTGACTCTGTACCGGTACCCCTTGTATATAGCCTCCCTACTGTTCTTTTATTTTACTGCTGCTCTTTAATTATTTGCTATTTTTATTTTTTACTTATCTATTTTTTACTTAACACTTTTTTTATTTCCTTAAAACTGCATTGTTGGTTAAGGGCTTGTAAGTAAGCATTTCACTCTAAGGTCTACACCTGTTGAATTCGGCGCATGTGGCAAATAAAATGTGATTTGATTTGATCAGTGGAGGCTGGTGGGAGGAGCTATAGGAGGAGAAGCTCATTGTAATGGCTGGAATGGAATCAATCATTTATTCCATTCCAGCCATTACAATGAGCTTGTCCTCCTATACCTCCTCCCACCAGCCTCCTCTGACACATATGCATAATTAGGCTAATGGCTACATAACCATACAGTAGTATGCTAGGCCAAGAGATTAGCATTAGGCAACAGTGACACCTGCAGTGACCTAAAAAGAGAGAGCTCCAAACTATAACACTCCACTGGCCTACTGATGTTGAAATGTTTGCCTGGACACTCCCACAAGTGTATCTCTATGATGACTACATTGTAGCAATTTTGAGTTTATTAATGTACAGAAGCATTGTTGACCATGCATGCTCTGTCTGAGAGGAAATCACAGAACATCATTCAGTGTCACATTTAGGAAACGATTATACAAATGGGTGACCTGTTTCTTCGCTCTCATGTTTAAATATGCCTCCCACAGTCCTTCGTTTGGCGAAAAAATACAGTTTTTCAAAATACAGTATTTCTGTTTAAAATGTACTTTCTCTGTCAGCTCTTTGGCGCCCAACAATCTCACTCATGAGGACCATACCAAGTACAAAGAATGGGGATGTAATAAAACAGAATACTAATAATAAATATGTTGTATGTACTTGTATGAATCAAGTTCACATTTATACAGATCCTTTATATATCGATATGTTAACTTGTAAACGAGTAACATTTTATTTTTCGATTGTATCTAATATTTAGGAATCTAAATATATATACTCCCCCTCTTTTCACATGATTGACTGTTCCATTTCATTCCGCCCGTGACGCCATTTTCCTTGTTATTCCTCTTTCGCCAGGGTAATTCAACAATCTTGGATACATGCATTTTGGACAAATACTCACAATAATCAGATATCTGACACTTTAAAGGCCCACCTTCCCTTTATTGAAGGAGAAGGGATATTTATTAATTTGTTTGTTTCGCTTTCTGAGGAAAGTTCCTGAATAGGCGACCATGTACATCAAACAGGTAAACTGGCGGCGCGAGCTCCATGTCGAAGACCCGCTCTTTAAAAATTATTGCTAGCGGCCTAGCCAGATAGCTAGCTTTAGCTAAGAAGTACCGTAAATAAATGAACCTTTACATGTAGCTAGCTAGCTGGAGATGGTCTACAATACGGCACTTAGAAAAGTAATCTACAAAAATTGTAATGTGCAGGATTGCAAACAATTCTTGGCCATGTCTGTCAGTAGGCTAGCTAGCGCCGGTACTAGTAGTGATGCTAGTCGCTAGCTAACGTTATAGTTGCTAGCAATATGTGGTAACCTTTTTCAATCCAGCTAACGTTAACTAGTTAGGTCAGCTAACTAGCTTGCCACTTAGCTATCAAGACAAGCCATTCATAAAGTAGTCACATCAGCTAGCTAAGTTAGCTAGTAGTTACTCGCCGTGGTGCTGAAACATTCAGATAACATTGTTTGTTATTAGCTAGCTAGGAAGATACTGCTCCATCCAGCTTGCCTGTTGACATAGCTATCAAGCTAGCTGACTAGCAATTGTTGGCAGCTAATTTCAACTTCTTGGCAAAATAAACGATTGGTGGATGTCTGAATTTTTTTATTCAATGCAATGGTGCTGTAACTAGCTAGCTAGCTTGGATAATTCAGATTTGTGATAGCACTTTCCTTCTTATCCTCTCAGGTCATCATCCAGGGGTTTCGAAGTTACAGGGACCAGACTGTGGTGGATCCTTTCAGTCCAAAGTCCAATGTCATCGGTGAGCATCTGCAAAGTTTACTCTCTCCCAAAACCTTGAGCTATCTTTAGTCATCACCAACACCTCACAATGTAGGTTTGGCTGTAGAGGAAACAATGGGCCCATTGCCTTTCGATTCATTGTCTGACTGACATTTCCCTCCCTGTATGTTGTTTTCTCACAGTGGGAAGAAACGGATCTGGAAAAAGTAACTTTTTCTACGGTACGTGAGCGCGCTGCCCCTGTCCTCTAATTATGTTTTCTACCATATGAAATCAGAAGAAAGAAAAAAAAATGGTGATACATTTATTTGCTGTATCTAACAAAAACAAATGTTTGTTTTTCTTTCAGCCATTCAGTTTGTGCTCAGCGATGAGTTCAGCCACCTTCGCCCCGAACAGCGCCTGGCCTTGCTCCATGTAAGTAGTGGAAGTTATACTAACAGTAATGGATATTATATAATCCTCAGTCTGATGTTAACCCCATAACACTGTAATAACAATGTTATTCCCTGTCACTGTAGGAGGGAACTGGTCCTCGTGTTATCTCGGCTTTTGTGGAGATTATATTTGACAATTCTGACAACAGGTTGCCGGTAAGATTCTCACCAAACATAATTGGCACCTTGACTATTTAGTCAGCCATGTTTAGTTTTCGTGTCTCTCCTTTCGTTGGTCAATAAATTCACTCTCCCTACAGATCGACAAAGAGGAGGTGTCCCTCCGTCGTGTCATCGGCGCCAAGAAGGACCAGTACTTCTTAGACAAAAAGATGGTGACGTAAGTGTCTGTTGACTACACGTCTGTTGTGACTGAGCAAAAATAGAACATTGCCTCTGTTTGAATATGTAATCATCATATAATCAACAATCATGTATGTTGATTTTATTCCAGTAAAAATGACGTCATGAACCTCTTGGAGAGTGCTGGTTTCTCCCGTAGTAACCCCTACTACATCGTCAAGCAGGGAAAGGTAAGACGGCACGATGAAGAAATGCTGTGAACAGGCTCTGTTGTGCAACATTCATTGGTTGTTTGCTGCAAACATGTTTCTTTGCACCACTGTGCTGACTGTATATATGTTCATACAACCCAACGTCTCATACCGATAATATCTTACATAACATGTTTTCCTTCGTCCGTAATCTGTTTCCAGATCAACCATATAACTTTATACATAAATTATACATAGGATACCTTTCATGTGTTTCCTCTCTTTATCCTGTATCCAGATCAACCATATAACTTTATACGTAGGTATCGTTCATGGGTGTTTCCTCTCTTTATCCTGTATCCAGATTAACCAGATGGCTACAGCCCCTGATTCCCAGCGTCTGAAGCTGCTGCGGGAGGTGGCAGGAACCAGGGTGTATGACGAGCGCAAGGAAGAGTCCATCTCCCTCATGAAGGAAACGGGTACAGTAGTAGTAGAAGAAGAACCAAAGTCTCTCTATAGGCCTACGATGACATCATCTAAGACTGTTTTCACATGCATTCAGACACCAGATCTAAACAGACGTATTCTGAATCACTACCTCAGATGGGCTTTGATTTAGACAAATTCAAAGCGTGCCTTTATCTACGAAAAAACTGTCGACTTTCAGACGTTACACACAAACATTCAAAATAAATGCTACTCTTCCAAATTATTTACCAAGGAAAAGCTATATAATTTAGTTCCCAGAATAAGCATCTCCCTTCCCTATTACAAATGGCCCTTGGTGGTGCCACCACACCTGTAGATATAACTGTAGACCTAGCTAACATACTGGTACACTGTTTTTGTGTTTCCCCCAGAGGGTAAGAGGGAGAAGATCAATGAGCTGCTGAAGTACATTGAGGAGCGTCTCCAGACCCTGGAGGATGAGAAGGAGGAGCTGGCTCAGTACCAGAAGTGGGACAAGATGAGGAGGGCTCTGGAGTACACCATCTATAACCAGGAGCTCAACGAGACACGCGCCAAACTGGACGAGGTAACAAGAATACCCAAAATATTATTGTTAATGGAGTATGGGTCAAGAAATAAATATCAGTCAAATCAAATTTTATTCACCATGTGCACAGGATGTCTAACAAAAAGTAACTTTCAGTTGGTAGAGGTTTGCTTTTGTGGTCTGGCCTTTCAAATTCTTCCTTTTTAAAATGGCATTTGAGATTTTTGATTGCATAGTTAACTGTTCTCTAAATTGCGTTTTCTCTTTCAGTTGTCCTCCAAGAGAGAGACCTGTGGAGACAAGTCCAGACATCTGAGAGACGCCCAGCAGGATGCCAGAGACAAAGTAGAGGTAAGTGATTCTGCATACAGTATTTGCCCAGAATAGCTTGGAGTGTAAATGGACCTGATCAGCTTTTCACACTCCTGAGCCAAGCTGTACTGAGCTGGCCTGGTTACGCATCCATCCACCACAGTTCCTGTAACCGTGCTGAAAAGAACAATGTGAAAAAGAAAATATCTGCTTCACCATCAATCTTGCAAAAATCATTTCTATCTTAGGGCTCTTGTGTATGCAAACCTGACCAGCTTTCTTTCTATTTCCTCTACAGTCAGTGTCCATCTAGTCTACATGTTATTCCTCTCTTCTCCTCCTCTTCCTCCCATTGTAGGAGACGGAGCGGGTGGTACGTGAGAAGAAGTCTAAGATCAGTGCCATGAAGGAGGAGAAGGAGCAGCTGAGCTCAGAGAGACAGGAGCAGATTAAACAGAGGACCAAGCTGGAGCTCAAATCCAAAGACCTGCAGGAGGAGCTGGCCGGCAACAGCGAACAGAAGGTAGGGGAGCACAGTGTGTGTGGGGGGGATGAGTGTGCGTGTCTGAGAGAGTGAGCAGGATGTGTGTAGTTGGCGACAGTCAACCAAAGGTAACGGCCGGTCAGAAACCTCCTCATCTGCGTCACTGTGTGTGGGTTTAGGTGTGTGTGTGACACACCATCCCTCCATCCTTACCTACCTACATACGTACCTACCTCTCCATCCCTCCATTCTCGAACGGGAGCCTCTCCTTCTGCGTCAGTGATAATCCCCCCCCACACACCTCCAACACCCCCTACCTCTTATTTTCTCCATCCCTCCCCCTTCTTTTTCTCAGAGGGTAAGGACAGAAGCCTCTCCATCTGCGTCACTGATACACCACACCCCTCCATCCCTCTCCCCCTACTGCTAGTCTTAACATCCTCTCTCTCTCTCCCTCTCTCTCCATCCCTGCATCCCTTCATCCTGGGCAGTGGCCCAAGGGTAGAGATCTGGCCCCAATCCCTGTGTGTGTTGCAGATTAGACAGCAGCATCTCAGCGAGTTTGGATTAGGCCCACCTGGCCGGGAGAATGTTGCAACAGCTTTTTTGTTAGCTTTGTTTTGTTGGGATGGATGGAGGGGGGCAGGGAGAGGGAAGTAGGGAGAGGGCGGGTGGGTGTACCTGCGTCATCTGCCTTTCTGACTGCTGAGTGACATGGTTCAAAGCAGACTTTAGGAAGCTCCCCCGGCAGCGTCGACGAAGGCAGCCCCCCGCACCTCTCTGATTCAGAGGGGTTGGGTTAAATGCAGAAGACACATTTCGGTTGAATGTATTGTTGTGCAACTGACTAGGTATCCCCCTTCCCTGATGGTTGACATATCTAGTCATCACGTGTACAGATAAAAAATGATCTGCTGGTGTTTGAACTTATTTCAGTGCTGACCCCACACACATATGAGTATCCTCAAATGCCTCCGAGTGTCACCCGTTGTCACCCGTAATAATATAATAAGCATAATATTAATAATAATATGATGATAATAATAATAATAATTGTAATACTATTAATAATCATATAATCATACTATTAATAATAATAATATAATAATATAATAATAATAATAATTAACTTAATTAATAACAATATGATGATGATGAACTCCTCCTCCAGAAACGTCTGCTAAAGGAGCGTCAGAAGCTGCTGGAGAAGATAGAGGAGAAGCAGAAGGAGCTGCAGGAGACTGAGCCCAAGTTCAACACTGTGAAGGAGAGGGAGGAGAGGGGCATCGCCAGGTCTGTAGGAAAACCCCATACTGCACATTTTTAAAGAATGAATTCATCATTTTATAGACAACAGCTTTTTAATGTATTAGTAAAAGGATATTTACTCATTCCCCCCCTCGCTCCACCCAGACTTGCCCAGGCCACCCAGGAGAGAACTGACCTGTACGCCAAGCAGGGCCGAGGCAGCCAGTTCACTTCTAAAGAGGAGAGGGACAAGTGGATCAAGAAGGAACTCAAGTCCCTGGACCAGGCCATCAACGACAAGAAGAGGCAGATTGCTGCCATTCATAAAGACCTGGAGGACACTGAGACCAACAAGGAGAAGAACCTGGAACAGTACAGTGTATGGAACCTAACTCATGACTCATTATACTATAATTCAATTGGAACTATTATGGTTGATTATATTGCCGTAAAAATTATTTTATTTAAATAGAACATTTCGATTCTGTTCTAGATTTCACTCTGTTCTATAATTCTAGGGATCAAGTTTATATCTGACTGATCTGTTTTTTTCCCCCTGTAGAAACTGGACCAGGACCTGAATGAGGTGAAGACCAGGGTGGAAGAGCTGGACAAGAAATACTACGAAGTCAAGAACAAGAAGGACGAGCTGCAGAGCGAGAGAAAGTAAGATCATGATCTATCTTTTTTTCTTCTTTTTTTCCCCTCCCTTTTCCTCTTGTTTCTTTGGTTGAGTCATTGCACTGTTAGGCCAAGATATTGATTTGAACCTGTAAATCTTTACTTCGTCTTCTCTCTTTTTTCTTTCTTTACTACTTTTTGCTCAATGTTCATTGAGTTGAGTCATCATTTGCTCTTTTATATATTGATTCTAACTTATAAATCGAAACTTTCTTTGCTCTTTTCTTTTTGTTCTTTTTTTATTCCTCTTTGCTCATTGAGTCATCCTTTGCACTTTAAATATTGATTTTACTTAGAAAATATGTATTTCCTTTGCCTCTAAGACAAAACGAAGGCCTATAGCCATGACTCAACCTCCACCGTGTAAAAGGTTGGATGGTTGTTCCCCGTTAAGACTTATATTCAGCTTCCGCCTGGCAACCGTTAGTTCCTTACCAGACTATGGTCTGCTCTGCTGTGAATGTCACCATTACGTTTCCCTCTCCTCTCCTTAACAATGGAAAGTTATTTATAACACTGTGAGATGGATGTTGGATGTTGCCTGTAGCTTTGCTGCTGTGTGCTGTAGAGAAAGGCCTTGAGGTGCTGAGTTGTGTGAGGAGGAGGGAGAAGACCAGAGGCAGTGAATATAATATGGCATAATAGAGCTGCTCTTAAAATTAAGGCATTTTCCTTGAAATGATTCAACAAATTTGCATCTACAATATTTGCCCTGGCTGCATAATTTGGTACATAGCCTTTTGGACTGAATGACAAGTTAATGCATTGAACTACCAGTGTGTTTGTCTGTGCGCCTCCAACAGCTATCTGTGGCGGGAGGAGAACGCTGAGCAGCAGGCCCTGGCAGCCAAACGAGAGGAGCTGGAGAAGAAACAACAGCTCCTTAGAGCAGCCACCGGCAAGGTCAGTGTGACGACCTTCTACCCAATGAAACTCGCACCTTAACATACATAATCATATCATGCATATCATCATACTGCCACCGGCAAGGTCAAAATAACCTAGTCCCCCCATGGCGTTAGATTGACCTATGAGTCATATTAATTAAAGAAGACCCACCTTCACCTCTACATGAATGTCCATGTAATCCATATCATCCTACTGGCCTTATGCTAAACCATGTGTGGTAATTCCATTTATCTATGAATCAATGCCAGATTAGAAAGGACACACACCTTCCCCTTTACACGTGATCATACTAGCCATGTGGTAAATCTTCTGAGTCAATCTCAGATTACAAAGGTCACACCTTTACGCACACACCCGTCCATTCCTATACTCCCCAAGGAGAAAGAATACACACATCTTCACACGGACACTCATTTCCACACATTTACTGTTTACTACCGGTCATGTCATTGGCCTGGTGTTACAGATGTATTATTATGTCCACACCATGAAATAAAGGCTACACACACATGCCGTCGCACTACCTACTCAACCGATGGTCGATGGCTCAGCTTTAGCAATGATGAGTCAAACACTGTTGAAAAGCCATCCCACCTGAACACTCCAAGTCTCACTTTGTGACTACATTATTAAGAAAAGAGATAGAGGTAGTGATTTTGTGACTCAACCAATTATTAGGGAAAGAAATAGCCTAGAGGTAAGGAAAGTCAAACAAAGAATCCCATTTCTCCCCCATTCTCTCCTAGCAGGCTACAGTGTATGTCTATGACTCAGCTGCTTATTACTTTTTCAATCACACTCTAATCAGTCCTTTCTTCTATCAAAATCAATCAGAATCTCCACAAAATGACGTTCTATCAAAATTCCCGATGGTTACCCTGGTGATTGCCGTCTTTACTTAGCTTGAGTGGTCCGGTCGAAGCTGACTCATACATCATCACAGAGAGTACTTGTCTTTTGGACTGCAGAACGTAGAAAATCACTATTTACACGTACTTAGACTAGGGATGGGCACGATTATTCAAATATCCAAATGGACGCTAGTATTCAATCACTTGCGAGAGTATTAATTGTTGAGGGGAAAAAATAATATAGGCCTATTTTAATTAATACATTAAATTGTCTATGTGACATTGCTATATACAAAGATAGACCACAACATTTTAATAAAACAACAGTTGGACAGTTTTTATGAGTGAGCCCCCTAAAAAAGACGTACCGGTAGCCTACACACTTTTTCACGCGTGTATATTATTGTCGGTCAATCAAAGCAACACTAATGTCAGAGGCTCCATGTGTAGCAAGAGAAGTGGCCAGGCACGACTCCAACACCATCATTAAGTTTGCCGACGACACAACAGTGGTAGGCCTGATCACAAACAACGATGAGACAGCCTATAGGGAGGAGGTCAGAGACTTGGCCGTGTGGTGTCAGGACAACAACCTCTCCCTCAACGTGACCAAAACAAAGGAGATGATTGTGGACTACAGGAAAAAAAAGAGGACTGAGCACGCCCCCATTCTCATCGACGGGGCTGTAGTGGAACAGGTTGAGAGCTTCAAGTTCCTTGGTGTCTACATCACCAACGAACTATCATGGTCCAAACACACCAAGACAGTCGTGAAGAGGGCACGACAAAGCCTATTCCCCCTCAGGAGACTGAAAAGATTTGGCATGGGTCCTCAGATCCTCAAAAAATTCTACAGCTGCACCATCGAGAGCATCCTGACTGGTTGCATCACCGCCTGGTATGGCAACTGCTTGGCCTCCGACCGCAAGGCACTACAGAGGGTAGTGCGTACGGCCCAGTACATCACTGGGGCCAAGCTACCTGCCTTCCAGGACCTCTATACCAGGCGGTGTCAGAGGAAGGCCCTCAAAATTGTCAAAGACTCCAGCCACCCTAGTCATAGACTGTTCTCTCTGCTACCGCACGGCAAGCGGTACCGGAGTGCCAAGTCTAGGTCCAAAAGACTTCTCAACAGCTTCTACCCCCAAGCCATAAGACTCCTGAACAGCTAATCATGGCTACCCGGACTATTTGCACTGCCCCCCCACCCCATCCTTTTTACGCTGCTGCTACTCTGTTAATTATTTATGCATAGTCACTTTAACTCTACCCACATGTGCATATTACTTCAACTACCCCAACTAGCCGGTGCCCCCGCACATTGACTCTGCACCGGTACCCCCCTGTATATATAGCCTCCCTACTATTATTTTATTTTACTTCTGCTCTTTTTTTCTCAACACTTTTTTTGTTGTTGTTTTATTTTTACTTTTTTTGTTAAAAATAAATGCACTGTTGGTTAAGGGCTGTAAGTAAGCATTTCACTGTAATGTCTGCACCTGTTGTATTTGGCGCATGTGACCAATACAATTTTATTTTATTTGATTTGAAGTGGGAGATTTCTAATCAATTCAAAATGGAATTGCAATTACGGAATTAAGTTGGCTAAATGAGGAGGATTAGGCTACAATGATGAACCAACGGGTAGGCTGTTTTAATATGAATTTAGTTGTTGTAGACAAGGACGTGGGGATCAAAACAAATGTTTTCTTTAAAACGCATCTATTTCGACTTTCCGAATATCTGAAAAAGAATTCATGATATTATTCGAATAGTGAAATCTTTTCAAATGCCCATCCCTAATGAAGACACTGGTATGATGCCACAGATAAATATGCATTTAAAAAGTGTTGACATGTTTCTTAAGGTAAATATTGTTGTTTTTGTCCCCACTAGGCCATTCTGAACGGTATTGACAGCATCAACAAGGTGCTGGAGCATTTCCGCAGAAAGGGGATCAACCAGCACGTCATCAACGGTTACCATGGCATTGTCATGAACAACTTTGAGTGTGAGCCCGCCTTCTACACCTGTGTGGAGGTCACCGCGGGAACCAGGTGAGTGACAGGCTCTTTTTCAATAGTATTTTTTTGGAATTCCTTATGTCGTTTCTATTCGCCTGGATTGGAGAACACATTGGATGAGAAGATCAGAGTTTCTTCCTCTCTGACCATCTCCAATGGGTTTTGAGAAGGAGCCGGGGAGAGGACACGGTGAATCGTGGAAAGACCGTTGAGAAAGCCAGAGAGAAGCTTGTTTCCTCAATGCAAAAGTAACTGTTACTCAAACTTGTCGGCTCAAATAATCCTTCATGTCCCCCTCCCTACCAGGTTGTTCTACCACATAGTGGAGACAGACGAGGTGAGCACCAAGATCCTGACGGAGTTCAACAAGATGAACCTGCCTGGAGAAGTCACCTTCCTGCCCCTCAGCAAGCTGGACGTCAGGGACACCGCCTACCCTGAGACCAACGTAAGGGAATATTATTGAATGGAATAGTCCTAAAAGTGTAAAACCCCCCCCCCCCCCCCCCAAGTAAAAAACAAAAAAACCACACCTCCAAATACTGTACTCTATATTTGACCCAGGCCTGCTATGACTTAGGGTGGTCAAAGAGCGTTAAACTGACCTATTTGTCCTCTCCCTCTCTCCTTTAGGATGCCATCCCCATGATCAGCAAGCTGCGCTACAGCCAGCAGTTTGACAAGGCCTTCAAGCACGTGTTTGGAAAGACCCTGATCTGTCGTAGCATGGAGGTGTCCACCCAGCTGGCCAGGGCATTCACCATGGACTGTATAACGCTGGAGGGTAGGTATCGGCTTACATGATCAAGATGACAATTAATGTAAATGACACCAATTATTGTCCTCCTTTTACAGTCTATGCTCAAGTAGCTAGAGGTGTCTTGGTGTAAATTTGGAAGTGTTTTTGTTGTGTGTGTGCGTTGAGATCACTGGTGTTTTTCTGCTGCAGAGGTGACCAGCACAGTGCATACCAGTTAGTGTGTTGTGGGACAGTTCATTTTTTTATTTGTAGATCTGTTATTTTTCTGGTGTGTGATTTGTACTTTTTTTGTGTTCTTTTTGTTCTATATATTTTCTTGTTACTGTGTCTCTCAGGTGACCAGGTGTCCCACCGTGGGGCGCTGACGGGGGGTTACTATGACACCAGGAAGTCGCGTCTGGAGCTGCAGAAGGACATGAGGAAGGCTGAGGAGGAGCTGGGAGAGCTGGAGGCCAAACTCAACGAGAACCTCCGCAGGAACATCGAACATATCCTTTAACTCCATTGTTAGTTGGTTGGTTCATTGGTTCACACAGATCCTCCCCTAGTCCTCTAAACTAGAGACCCAAACTGATTCCAGGTTTCTGTTTTCCCCTCTTACTTCAGGTTTTCACATTCAAAATCGCACTTAAAGAAGGAAAACAACAATAATAAACATTTGTATTTGGGTGTAGTTACCTTTTCATTCTAGTGGCACCCAGCAATTGGCTGTTTAGCTGTGGTTTTGTAGCGCACCTGATAGTAGAGTTTGCAAAACAAATACTGATGCAAATCGTATTCTGCCAGGTAAGCATAGGCTATTTTGTAGTTAACGTTTTAATTGCGAAGGTTTTTGGGAGAGCCTTTCCGTCTACCAGAAGACTTCACTAGCATCATCGCTAACAGCTACACAAAGTGGTAGGTGCGCACCGCACATACAGACGGGGAATTATTGTTGCCTCTTCAGAACGTTGCAGGAAATATTAATCTGATGCATTCTATTCATGTATTATGATAGACTTGGGCTAATTAATACATTTTCCATAAATGTAGTTGATTCCCTACTAAGTTCAATACGTTTTTTCAATATTGTTGAATTCCGTTTTAATGTCTGGATTCCATGATTCCGTCCACGTTCTCAGCATCGCGTATTTTATAGGCCCTATATTTGATTCTGATTAGTCAGGAATACAGGCTCAGTCTAGTGTGTCGTACTCTACCTCAACTCCCAACCATTGGCTGGTCCCCTACAGTGGACCTGCAGTGAGTCAGACACCAGAGATACGAATATGCTATTTTAGTCCTAAATACAGGGACTCAGTAGGTGATGGTGTGTTGTCCTCTCTCTCAGGCTCTGGCGCTAAATTGGAGGAGATTTTAATGTGTAAAGATGAACATGTTTCGTATTGAAATGGGTGTGATAGTGTGTGGTGTTTCATGTCATTTAGTTGTGAAACATGTTAAGTAGGTAATGGAGTGTCATGTTTTCCTCTCCCTGAGTCTCTGGAGGTTATGTGTGATTGGCTGGTTAGAGGGGATTTCATGCAGCCAGATTATGTCTTGAACCCAGCAGGAAGGAGGAGGTGTGTATGGGTGGATGTTGGAGGTTGACAAATGGGATAATATGGGTGTGTGATCAAGCCAAAGAGGATTAGAGAGAAAGAGGTCTCAGAGGGCAATGCTGTGTCACTAGTATCAGGCAGCACAGCCCAGCGGCCCCTTAGACACACTGAGGAGATTATTGAATGTGTCCATGAATGAGTGAGTGTGGGTGGATGGCTAAGCTGATGACATGGCGTTGCGCGTTTGTTTGAGTGCACCTGTGTGTGTGGGCGGATGGCTTGAGTTGATTGTTGACATGGCGTCACTCCTGTAAGCCCCCAGCATTGAGTCAGAGGTTCAATCAATGATTTTAAAGCATGTTTTTTTTATCTACACCACCTCTGGCCCTAGGTAAGCTTGCCATTAGGGAGATGCCTGTCTGCTTTATTTTAAGTCGGTCTTTAAAGGGGCAATCTGCAGTTGCTACATACTTTTTTGACTTATTAATTATGTGTACCCATTGATTCTTGAACAATATAACTTATGAATGCCTCAACTGTCATACGCCATCAGAACCCAAACTATATGTTTGTTTACAAACTTTGGAGAAAAACTAAGTAAATGTAAATAACACTATATACCTTCAAAACATGGTTACAACTATAATGTTGATATCATGGATGGTCAGTCCTTGCATCCATAGCTCTGTCAATTAATTTGAGAGTGGTTGCATTCCTCCAGCCCCTCAGCTTTGTACAGAAACGGGTGCGGGGAGGACACTTTGTTATTGTTTAAACTGCTGATTACCGATTGAAATGAATAGAAAACGGAAGCTCTAGTTTTGGGTGATTTGAGTAACCAATACAATGTTACATGCTTTGAGCCTCTCCAAATCCTAAAAACCAACCAATCAATATATAAATCGAACAATGATATCCATAATGTATGAAGTATGTTCCTTAACCCTCCCCTGTACATATCAACATGAGATCTATAGGTTATATTTGTGTATAAAGTATGTTCCTTAACCCTGCATCACGTATCAACAATGAGATCTATAGGTTATATAGGTTCTATTTAAGCAATTTAATGCCAGAGGGGGTATGGTATATGGCCAATATACCACAGCTAAGGGCTGTTCTTAAGCGCGACACAACGAGGAGTGCCTGGACACAGCCCTTAGTCGTGGTATATATCACAAACCATATATCACAAACCTCAGAGGTGCCTTATTGCTATTATAAACTGGTTACCAACATAATTAGAGCAGTAAAAATAAATGTTTTGTTATATACTACGGCTGTCAGCCAATCAGCATTAAGCGCTCGAACCACCCAGTTTATAATTGCTTATAAAGTATGTTCCTTAACCCTGCATCACGTATCAACAATGAGATCGACCAGCTGATGAACCAGATGCAGCAGATTGAGACCCAGCAGAGGAAGTTCAAGGCCTCCAGAGACTCCATCCTGTCTGAGATGAAGATGCTCAAGGAAAAGAGGCAGCAGTCCGAGAAGACATTCATGCCGAAGGTAGGGTTGATTTGGACTTCAATATGACTCTTGGTTTCTATCGGGCCCTATTCAAGGAAATCCTGAATCAAATGTAGCCGTAGTTGACTGAATCGGACCTCGATCCAGTTCAACATTTTGACAAAAAATGTCAGATTGTTTTGATATTTAGATTCAGAAAAGTACCATACACATCCAAGAGGATGATAAGGGTGTATTTTTATACCCTACAAATTAGAGGTATTATGCTACCATGGCAAGCACCCCACCTTTTTACATTTGAGATTCATGCAGCAGTCTGAGAAGACATTCATGCCTAATGTAGCCTACATTTATATTGCTAACTTTATGATTGTTGCTGAATAATCTCTATCTTGACTTGATACTATGCCTGTCTTCTTCTGTCTAGACTTCTCTTGAACATGCAGTCCACCAGTTGAACACATTAACACATTGCTGCACTGTACTAGCATAAACTGTGCCTGTGCCTGCTGCTTGCAAACCAAATGTCATCTTTTGGGCATTGACAAAGTAATTTCAACCCATTCAATCTCTCCCCACAGCAATGTTCTCTGCATTCTCTAGAGGCTAGTCTTCATGCCATGGAGTCCACCGGTTAATGTACTATCCACTCATCCTTACCTCTCTTATCTCCTCACAGCAACGCTCTCTCCAGAGTCTGGAGGCCAGTCTCCATTCCACGGAGTCCACCCTGTAACTCTTCCTCTTCTCTAACTATCTCTCCTCTGTTTTCTCCTCACAGCAACGCTCTCTGCAGTCTCTAGAGGCCAGTCTCCATGCCATGGAGTCCACCAGGGAGTCTCTGAAGGCTGAGCTGGGGACAGACCTGCTCTCTCAGCTCAGTCTGGAGGACCAGAGACGTGTGGACGATCTCAACGACGAGATCAGACAGCTGCAGCAGGTAAGGAGACAGTTAATGAAGGACTACAGGGGGAACAAGTTTAAACATGGAACTATGTGTGGATGTATGGTTGTATGTGGAGTTTGAATGGCTGGATAGCTGGATGGTTTTACCTCCTGTTAAGACCTCAACGTCGAGATCAGACCGCTCCAACATCTAAACATTACAGCTAGAGACAGGGAACAAGTTTAAATGGGGCGCAGATTATATCTAAATATTGTCAAGACCTAATACAGACAGTGAGTGAATGAATGAATACCGGAAGTTCATTTGATTCTAATTTATCACTCTGACCCTCATGAAAGACGAAAATGATGGGTTATGATCATTTCACTGTCTTCCATTGTTATGTCATACCTGGATTGTCTTTGCCTTTTGATACAAAAGCACACAAACACCCTCAGACTCAGTCAATTTTTGAGTTGAGTGCTAGCTAGCTGCAGTGGTGTGGGCACTGACTTCACAGCCATCCACATACACACACACTGCCAGCTGCTCACAATGAGCCACCTCAGCCGTTCTATCTGCTAACGTTATGCAACCGTCCCGATATAGAAATAGACTCTCATGTTCTGTACAGGAGTAGGTAGACTGGCCGTGACCCTCCGTCTCCTCTCTCTCCTCTCCCTCGCTCTCTCTTTCTCTCCACGCCTGCAGTTCTTTTCATTTAATTTGGTTCTCTAAATTCATTTTTCTTTCTTTCTCATAAAGGCTCATTTGTTTGGTGTGTGTGTGGGGGGGTTACACTCTTCTTTTTTCCCCCTCATCTATTCTATTACGAACAGAGTCTCTCTCTCTCTCTGAAATGTGTTCTATATTTTGTTATGAAAGATGAGGACATGAATGTAGAACAACAAACATGATTGTTGTGTTTGTGTGATGTATTGTTGTATGAAAGGAGACAATTCTTCATGTTATCTTTGTGTTTGTAGGACAACAGGCAGCTGCTGAATGAGAGGATCAAGCTGGAGGGGATCATGACCAGGGTGGAGACGTACCTCAATGAGAACCTACGGAAACGCCTCGACCAAGTAGAACAGGTATGGTGTTACACAATGTGCAAAACAAAACCTAGAACACTTCCAGTTCCACAGTAGAGGTACGGTTCAAAAATTCTCAGAACAGAACCAAGAACGGGTCCGGTTCCAGAATGTCCAGATGGCAACCTAGAACAGGTAGAATTCCAGAATATCCAGATGGCAACCTAGAACAGGTAGAATTCCAGAATATCCAGATGGCAACCTAGAACAGGTAGAATTCCAGAATGTCCAGATAGCAACCTAGAACAGGTAGAATTCCAGAATGTCCAGATGGCAACCTAGAACAGGTAGAATTCCAGAATGTCCAGATAGCAACCTAGAACAGGTAGAATTCCAGAATGTCCAGATGGCAACCTAGAACAGGTAGAATTCCAGAATGTCCAGATAGCAACCTAGAACAGGTAGAATTCCAGAATGTCCAGATAGCAACCTAGAACAGGTAGAATTCCAGAATGTCCAGATGGCAACCTAGAACAGGTAGAATTCCAGAATGTCCAGATAGCAACCTAGAACAGGTAGAATTCCAGAATGTCCAGATGGCAACCTAGAACAGGTAGAATTCCAGAATGTCCAGATAGCAACCTAGAACAGGTAGAATTCCAGAATGTCCAGATGGCAACCTAGAACAGGTAGAATTCCAGAATGTCCAGATGGCAACCTAGAACAGGTAGAATTCCAGAATGTCCAGATGGCAACCTAGAACAGGTAGAATTCCAGAATGTCCAGATAGCAACCTAGAACAGGTAGAATTCCAGAATGTCCAGATGGCAACCTAGAACAGGTAGAATTCCAGAATGTCCAGATGGCAACCTAGAACAGGTAGAATTCCAGAATGTCCAGATGGCAACGTAGACCAAGTTGGAGAGCATTCAGAAGGAAGACCAAGATACACTCAATACAGATGATGACCAAAATGGCACAGGACATCCATTCAAACACCAACTGAAGCATGTATCAACGTCATGTGACGTCCCTGTGGTTCTTACGTCACCTTTATGTAGTACTTATAAATACTTTCTTTCTGAAATGAGGGCCTTGTGAAATTCATTAGGATTGCTAATAGTCTACCCTTCTTGCCCCTGTTATCTTGTTGGAGCTGAACAAGCACAGAGAGACAGAGAAAGCAGGGCACAGTGGTTAAGTCATCTATGTAGTGCTTATGAATGCATTATAACACCTTTGTGAAGTGTATTCTTTCCCCTGTGCTCCTGTAGGACAGTGGTATTCAAACTTCTTCAGCGGGGATCACATTATTTCCACCAGAATTTCTGGGGACCCCATTCTTTTCAGTCTTGTGACCTCACCCCAAATATTGACACAACCGTAAAATCGGTACATTTACATTTTTACATCAACAAATAACCTTAAATACATTAAAATTTCATCTCTTATCAAAATCAAAATAAACCAATAAATAAATGTACTCAATAAAATAAATTCAAATTATCTTTCTCAAAAACGTTTTTGTATATTGTCCCATACAATAGTCTGTATTCTTAATTTTTTGCTCCCGAATATGTTTTTTTTTTTGGCGACCCCACTGCAGTTCCCTGACTTTGAATACAGCTGCTGTATGAGCTGAGAGAGACATAGGGAAGCTCTCTAGCTGTTAAGTCATGTTTATGTAGTGCTTGTGAATGCGTTTAACTCCTTATTAACTTCTTTCTCCATGTGATCGTGTAGGAGTTGAATGAGCTGAGAGAGACTGAGGGAGGCACTATGCTCACAGCCACCTCCTCAGAGCTGGAGGGAATCAACAAACGCATCAAAGATACACTGGCACGCTCAGAGGGTAGGTCACACACACACACACACACACACACACACACACACACACACATACACACACACATAGAAAGAATGGAGCTCACATTAAGTATTGTTTTGGTCTCTCTTGAACAGTAGTACATTATTTGACCTGAATTGATGGAAACCTACACACAATCAACAATATCAATAACGGTACAATTGCTACATCTTCAAAGTGCCAACGTTTTTTAAATAGTATCTGTCCCTATTCCTCCCCCAGACCTGGACGTGTTGATCGACAAGGCGGAGATTGAGGTCAAGGATCACGCCAAGAGCATGGACCGCTGGAAGAATGTAGAGAAGGAACAGAACGACGCCATCAACCATGACACCAAGGAGCTGGAGAAGATGACCAACCGACAGGTCTGCCTTTTGAATCTTCAGCTATATTAGAATTCAGTGTTTCCATTATTTTGGCAGTTATCTGTAGATTGGGGGTAAGGCCCTGCGATAGACTAGCATTCTGCCAAGTGGGTGTACAGAAACAGGAGATGGGCTCCTACTCCTATGAGCTGTTCTGGCTCGCACAAACCAAGGCTACTTACTGTACTTTATTAGGATGCCCATTGGCTGACGCCATGACGCCATGACGACCGCTAATCTTCCTGGGGTCCATACACATGACTAAAAATACATTACGGACATAAGACTTGACAATGTACATTGAAAGGAGACTGTAGTAGACATTACAAACATTTGATAAGCAGACATTGAACAGGTTAAAATACCTGACGGGTAACACATTTAACATTCAAGCATTGTCTTTTAATGTGTTCAGATCAGTGTTATTGATCCTGGTGTTGTCTCTGTGATCATTGCTGATGCTGTGGTAATAAAGGACTGTTGCTACTACTATACTACTAAGGCCATAATGCTACTGTTACTACTCCTACTACAGGGCATGCTGCTGAAGAAGAAAGAGGAATGTATGAAGAAGATCAGGGAGCTGGGGTCCTTACCACAGGAGGCCTTCGAGAAGTACCAGACCCTCACTCTCAAACAGGTGAATACACACTCACTCACTCACTCACTCACTCACTCACTCACTCACTCACTCACTCACTCACTCACTCACTCACTCACTCACTCACTCACTCTCTTGGGATAAACACACACACACTCTCTCTCTCTAGGAATAAACACACACACACTCTCTCTCTCTCTAGGAATAAACATACACATACTCTCTCTGTCTCTCTCTCTCTAGGAATAAACACACACGGACACACTCTAGGGATAAACCTACACACGTACACATGCTTAACAAACAAACACACATGCTATAGGTAAACACATTCTCTCTCTCTGGGCTCCCTGTCATGTCTTTGATTAGCAGCCAAAGGCCAACAGTCACGACGACAATCATCTCAGAAAGCCTCCTCATCGCTCGACCGAGGGGCCAGGGCCTGGTCACACACACACGGCTGAGACACCGCCCACCCACTCACACACGTATGAAAGCAGCAGCAGTCACCTCACTGTGACTCAGACACCTAGTTTGCCGGCTCCCGCCGCCAGACGCCCCTGGGCACCTCCGTGTGTGTCAAGTGGGCTGCCGGCTCGTCTCTCATAAGTGTGTGTGTGGGTGTGTTTCTCCTTGACAAGACTAGAAATATCCCATACTTCGTGATGATGAACGTTAGCTTCCTTAATCTTTCTCCCCAAGACATTGAGTCTTGATTAGCCGTCCAGGTCAGATAGTGGATTCTAATACAGAAGTGGATGAAGCCAAAGGATAATAATATACCTCTTATACAGCTTATCTCTGTGATAGGTCTCTTGACTTGACATAGAAACTGAAGAATATTAATCGTTTTTTGAGTGTTTTGAAGGAATACGTGTCAGTTGGGATTATGGTTATTTCAACTCCTCATACTCCTCTTCAAGTGATGATTATTAGAAATATCATTTTAGGCACTTTGCCATCAGGAGCTTTTCACTTGAAATTCAACTAACGTGTATGTCTAATACAGCATGCATAGTAACGTGTTACCTTGCCGCTTCATCCAAATGTTCCTCCCCACAAGTGGTTCTGTAAACTGAAGTCGTGCAACACAGAGCTGAAGAAGTACAGCCACTTGAACAAGACGTTTTTAATGTTACCCTAACGCTCTTTCGCCCTCTTCTCCCTCCCTCTGTAGCTGTTCCGGAAGCTAGAGCAGTGCAACACAGAGCTGAAGAAGTACAGCCATGTAAACAAGACGTTTTTAATGTTACCCTAACGCTCTTTTGCCCTCTTCTCCCTCCCTCCCTCCCTCTGTAGCTGTTCCGGAAGCTAGAGCAGTGCAACACAGAGCTGAAGAAGTACAGCCATGTAAACAAGAAGGCCCTGGACCAGTTTGTCAACTTCTCTGAGCAGAAGGAGAAGCTGATCAAGCGTCAGGACGAGCTGGAGCGAGGACACAAGTCCATCATGGAGCTCATGAACGTCCTGGAGCTCAGGAAGTACGAGGCCATCCAGCTCACATTCAAACAGGTACGTTGTCCTCAACTTCACTCTTTTAACAAGTACCTAACCTCTTCATTAGGGGAAAGAGGTACGCTTCATCCCTTGAGTCAAAACCTCAATCAAGTCTCAAATTGGTATGCTTTCAACCTGATTTAGGTCTCAGATAGACCGTGACTCTGAATTTGGCCTTCTGCACATACACCTGTACCCCTGAGCAAGGTCTCAATCAGATAGACTTCAACCCCCCCGAATAAGTCATTATCCTTCAACAGGAGAAATGTTCATGATTTAACCATATGAAACTCAAGACCCCAAATGTAGGACACGGTTGTTGAGTTCTGTCTGCATGAGTTCAATCAAGCACATTCCCATTGCTGGATTGATAATAGTAGTTTTTACTTATAAGCGCTTTTCATTTTACAGTAATAATCTACGTTCCAAAGTGAATAACCATATCATGACTAATTCCATCTTTCCTCTCCTCAGGTGTCTAAGAACTTCAGTGAGGTTTTCCAGAAGCTGGTTCCGGGGGGCAAGGCCACCCTGGTGATGAAAAAGGGTGACACGGAGGGGGGTCAGTCCCAGGACGAGGGGGAGGGGGGCACCGACAGCGAGAAGGGCTCAGGCTCTCAGAGCAGTGTGCCCTCTGTAGACCAGTTCACCGGAGTCGGCATCAGGGTAAGAGTGTTTGTGCGGGTGTGTGTGTTTGTTTGAGAGCGAACACGAGAACCACGAGAGAGATTTGTGATAAATAGTGAAAATGTCATATGTACTCCGAAGAGCTTTTTGATTATTTTTTAGTTGTTGCCTCTTTTACACAGAAAGTAAGAATGGGCAATAAATTATGAGTTTCATTATTGAGTGTATCACATCATCCTAGTTTGCTGTTGCTCATGTCATTTTTTTCTTCCTAATAAAAAAAAAAGTTCATGTTCTATCATATCTCCAGGAATTTTTTATTTTTTTTAGGAACTCAGTTGGGATCTTAACTTAATGTTGGAAGTTAGAATAGTAGAATACACAAGTTGCAATTTCGAAATGTGGTTAGGCATCATCTGTTTGCGCGCAATACCCTATACCTCCGTGGCATCACCCTATACCTCCGTGGCATCACCCTATACCTCCGTGGCATCACCCTATACCTCCGTGACATCACCCTATACCTCCGTGGCATCACCCTATACCTCCGTGGCATCACCCTATACCTCCGTGGCATCACCCTATACCTCAGTGGCACCACCCTATACCTCCGTGGCACCACCCTATACCTCAGTGGCATCACCCTATACCTCCGTGGCATCACCCTATACCTCAGTGGCACCACCCTATACCTCCGTGGCACCACCCTATACCTCCGTGGCACCACCCTATACCTCAGTGGCATCACCCTATACCTCCGTGATATCACCCTATACCTCCGTGGCATCACCCTATACCTCCGTGACATCACCCTATACCTCAGTGGCACCACCCTATACCTCAGTGGCACCACCCTATACCTCCGTGGCATCACCCTATACCTCCGTGGCACCACCCTATACCTCAGTGGCCACCTATACCTCCGTGCATCACCCTTACTCGTGACATCACCCTATACCTCCGTGACATCACCCTATACCTCCGTGGCATCACCCTATACCTCAGTGGCATCCCCTATACCTCAGTGGCATCACCCTATACCTCGTGGCATCACCTATACCTCGTGGCATACTAGTACTCAGTGGCATCCCGTACTCAGTGGCATCACCGTACCTCAGTGGCATCACCACCTCGTGGCCACCTATACTCAGTGGCACACTATACTAGTGCACCACCATACCCCAGTGGCATACCCATACCTCAGTGGCACCACCCATAACTCGTGCATCACCCTATACTCAGTGCACACCATACTCATTGGCATCACCCTTCCAGTGGCACACCTTTTACCTCAGTGGCTACCCTATACTCAGTGGCACCACCCTATACTGTTCTGGCACCACCTCAACTCAGTGGCCACCTATACTCAGTGCATCACCCCGTACCCCAGTAGCATCACCCCGTACCTCAGTGGCATCATCTTCATGTGTGCAAGACTAGTTGAGATGGGCGTTGTTCAAGGAGAGAGAGACAGTCGGACATTGCAGCACTTCGCCATTGTATTAGTTGGGATTTGGTTAAATCGCAGTGGATCGAATCATGTGAATCAAAATAATAATTTGAATCGCGAACATTTAATTTTACGACATATTTGATTCCGCCTTTCTTTTTAATTATATGGCTTCAAAACGTGTTTTGTTGATACTTTCAGTTGATTTGGGCATCCAATGTTTGGGACATTGCAACTCAATAGTTTATAGTCTGCGTGTAAAATAAACACTTCTAAGATAAATATGACTAAACTCGAAAAGGTACATTTCCTGAAAAATATTTGTGGGCTTGCCATTTGATCTTTGGTATATTGAATGAGCAAATTATTTTAAAAGGCATAAAATGTATTTGGTTGTAATGTTGCAATATTTTACATCAAGGGTGGTCAACCATCCTCCAGGAGAGCTAATGGGTGTTCAGGCTTTTATTCCTGTCCCCCGCTTAACAAACCACCATTTTAGAAATGAGCTGCTCAACCGGACCTTGATAAACTGGCTCAGATGGGTTTGAGCAGGGCTGGATCAAAAGCCTGCACATCCAGTAGCTCTCCAGACTGAGGGTTGACCACGTGTTTTATACAGTTGCCTAACAGGTATTCTGCTTGTGGGGGGTTAAGTGCCTTGCACAACAACAGGAGATGGTACATGAGATCAGAGAGCAGCCTCCCAGTGTCGATACCACATTACTTTTTTATACATACATAGAGACGACGCCAATTGTTGGTCATGGAAATTTTGTTAAAAGTCATGAAATTCGATCTGTCAAAATTCCACTGGAAAACCTCCCTGGTCTTTGTGGTTGAATCTGTGTTTGAAATTCACTGCTCGACTGCGGGACCTTACAGATAATTGTATGTGTGGGGTACAGAGATGAGGTAGTCATTCAAAAATCATGTTAAATGCTATTATTGCACACACAGTGAGTCCATGCAACTTGTTGTGACTTTTAAGCACATTTTTACTCCTTAACTTATTTAGGCTTGCCATAACAAAGGGGTTGAATACTTATTGACTCAAGACATTTCAGCTTTTCATTTTTTATTAATTTGTTAAAAAAAATCATTCCACTTTGACATCATGGTGTATTGTGTGTAGGCCAGTGATACAAAATCTCAATTGATTCCGTTTTTAAATTCAGGGGGAAAAGTCAAGGGGTGTGAATACTTTCTGAAGGCACTCTGTGTATATACTTTTCAATAATATTCCACATTTGTTTCTCTCCTCTTGCCCCCTCCAGGTGTCGTTCACGGGGAAGCAGGGGGAGATGAGGGAGATGCAGCAGCTCTCTGGAGGTCAGAAGTCCCTGGTGGCCCTGGCCCTCATCTTCGCCATCCAGAAGTGTGACCCCGCTCCTTTCTACCTGTTTGACGAGATTGACCAGGCCCTGGACGCACAGCACAGGAAGGCTGTCTCAGGTAATAACACCACTAGCATATTTTATACAACACAACCACTCACAGACGGCCTCCCTTGGATAAGAAGAGATGGGATAATGAAGAATTCCAGAATTTTTCTGACTTGAATAAGTGTGTTGAATTTACAGCTTTCTGTCTTGATTTTCAATGTTCGTCCAGCCACAACCCTTGTCTGGCTACCCAAACTCCTTGCTCCGGCCAAATGCTACGCCACGCCCATAGACGTTAGTTTATTCTCCGCAATGAGTCTGGATCTGAGTACCTCCCAACGATTTCTAGAACGCAAACACATTCTAATCGTTCTGATTGGTCCCAGAAACCGATGGGTTGGGCCAGAGCCAGAACACACGTGGGCAAAGCAACAATTTGAACATTCGTCATTGGCTTTGATAGTCTGATTGGTTAGAAATGATCCAATCACTGATGACTTTGTTTTGTACAACACCCATCATTTTGATGTCACCACAAACGACTTCTATGATGGCAGTCTGACTGAAGGATGTAGAGCAGTGGAAGAATTCAGTTTGAGTTGTCAGACAACCACAACCCTTCAACAAGCATGAAGAAATGTAAGCATTTATAACATATCTATAAATCTCTTATCAGTGTGTAATGTGTGTTCCAGATATGATTGTAGAGCTGGCGGGCCATGCCCAGTTTATCACCACTACATTCAGACCTGAGCTTCTGGAGTCAGCTGACAAGTTCTACGGAGTCAAGTTCAGAAACAAGGTGAAGTTCCTTAAAAGTTTATACGTTGGTCCACATCGGTATGAATGCGTGGGTACTGGTTACTCACTCACTGGCTAGTTTTAGACTTGTTTAATACCCTCTGGCATTCAGAGACGTGAAAAATATGTTTCATAAGATGATTGACTCAGTGGAACTCAGACACAGGCTCACTGTGTGTGTGTGTGTGTGTTTCCAGGTGAGTCACATTGACGTGATCTCGGCAGAGCAGGCAAAAGACTTTGTGGAGGACGACACTACCCATGGTTAAGAATAATCAACTCTTCATCATCCTCCTCTTCCTCACCCACCTCCGTAGTGCACTGCCTAACACTGAGCCTTCAGTCCTCTCCACTCCGACAGAACTCAACCAGAACCATAGAATTAGAACACATTCATTGGAATCTATTCTAATTCTACCGTCAGAACTCTTGTCAGAACTCCCAAGTCTGTCATCTAGGGCTTAGTAGCTGCACCACTGTTCCCTTCTCTATGACATTGTTATGATGACATCCATCGTCTTCTTCTCTCAGAGGAGCGGCCGAGGAGGGAAAATAAGAGTCCATTGAGTTTTTTCTGGTCTGTATTTTATTTTTATCAACGTTTTCAGGTAGGTTTTTTTTGCAAGTCATGTTGATGTTTGAGATGAGGGTTTGATTTTCAGTGCTGGCGCAGCCTTTGACCTCATTGTATTTAATGGAAAATTGAGAACTTTTGAGATTCAAATGCATGTTCTTTTTTGATTTGAAACTGTTGGTATGTGCTGTGCAGATGTTGTGCTGATGATTTTTCCATAAATTGACAGAAATAGTTCTGCTGAGGATAGTCAGTCACTTTGAATCTCAAACTGTGAGGTATAGTGACAGACAGAGAAATAATAATTTTTAAATAACCAGTTTGTCAGAATATTCTTCCATGTTTAAGATATGTGACATATTATCCCCTTTTTGTACTTATAATAAAACATTAACTTGTTGTATCGTCGTTACCAGAAAAATGGTTTGAAATATTCTGAACATTTTTATTCTTTATTTTTGTTAACAGTGTCTTGGCATTCCCTGTTGTAGGTCATGCTCTTGTAACCAGTTAGTTCTACACTGACTGCAGCATGTAAACTTGTTTTTCTCTCCCTGTTACTCTATTAGAAAACAATAAAAATAAAATGTATAAATCTTACGCTTAAATCGTATAGATCTTTCGTAGGATCATGAAGTCAACTAGAAAACGAACATTTCCTGAAGAAAGTTGTGTGCATTTGTAGTGAAGTAAGTTGTAGTGTGACATGTGATCTGTGTAGCATTATACCACTGGGTGGCGCTAGGTCACAATCTTTTCACCTCCTGAACCATACATCTGTCTGGTAACTACATGGACCACGAAATAAGATGGAGTTACACCACGAGGTGTAATGAGTGACCTATAATATACATACTGAATGTCTAGAGGAGTGACACAGATAATTATTTGAGATCATGACACTTGAGTCTGCTGGTATTTCATAATGTTAAGATGTAATATCAGACAGGGATCATATCAGTGAAGAGGATAGCTACCAGAAACCTAGTTTCAATCTGCCATGTGGGGCACCTAAATATGACCCAAAAAATTGATTGATTTCTACCACTGAGCGTGACAGTATTTTTGAAGTTGGCTGATAAGATGTCAATCAGAAACAGGAAGGAAATGAAACCCAGATTAACATCTGATCAATGGCCCTAATTGAACCATTTAATCTATTTCAATCTGCCAAGTGGGACACCCAGAAGTTAATTGTGATCCTCTAGTCTCCTCACACTTTATTTTCTGTCTGATAAAATCCCACTGACCCAAGGTCTGTTTGTGCTGTCTTGCCAGTTACAGTCTCTCTGGGACCAGGGTAACCCAGTGCCTTGTTAGTGAATGGGAAAGGGTGTGACCCTCAGACCGTCGGCCCAGAGTTAGCCAGACATTTGGAATAGATAGTCATACGTTAATGACCCTACTGACTGTGACTACAGTACACTGACTGACTACTGACCTGACTGACCACCAGACTAGTCTCACACCCTGCCAACAGAACACCTCATACACCTGTGCCCTGCCAGGCCCAAGCCATTAGCCAGGCAATACTCCATGCTCTCTCTCACTGTCCCTAGTCAGCTGATCTGAAATCGGAATTTCATCCAAGCCTCAAGTAATTGCTGTCAGATGATCTGACATCTATCCAAGACTACCCAAGCAATGTTGTCTCTCTCTCTCTCTCGTCAGCTGAAATGAACAGACCGCCTGTTCTTCCTACTATCCATTCCCTCTGCCGCCTCCCTTTCTACTAAACTATATACAGTTGAAGTCGGAAGTTTACATACACTTAGGTTGGAGTCATTAAAACTCGTTTTTCAACCACTCCACAAATTTCTTGGTAACAAACTATAGTTTTGGCAAGTCGGTTAGGACATCTACTTTGTGCATGACACAAGTAATTTTTCCAACAATTGTTTACAGACAGATTATTTCACTTATAATTCACTGTATAATAATTCCAGAGGGTCAGAAGTTTACATACACTAAGTTGACTGTGCCTTTAAACAGCTTGGAAAATTCCAGAAAATGATGTCATGGCTTTAGAAACTTCTGATAGGCTAATTGACATCATTTAAGTCAATTGGAGGTGTACCTGTGGCTGTGGATGTATTTCAAGGCCTACCTTCAAACTCAGTGCCTCTTTGCTTTACATGGGAAAATCAAAAGAAATCAGCCAAGACCTCAGAAAAAAAGTTGTAGACCTCCACAAGTCTGGTTCATCCTTGGGAGCAATTTACAAATGCCTGAAAGTAACACGTTCATCTGTACAAACAATAGTACGCAAGTATAAACACCATGGGACCACGCAGCCGTCATACCGCTCAGGAAGGAGACGCGTTCTGTCTCCTATAGATGAAGGTACTTTGGTAGGAAAAATGCAAATCAATCCCAGAACAACAGCAAAGGACCTGGTGAAGATTCTGGAGGAAACAGGTACAAAAGTATCTATATCCACAGTAAAACGAGTCCAGAAAGGCCGCTCAGCAAGGAAGAAGCCACTGCTCCAAAACTGCCATAAAAAAAGCCAGACTATGGTTTGCAACTGCACATGGGAACAAAGATCGTACTTTTTGGAGAAATGTCCACTGGTCTGATGAAACAAAAATAGAACTGTTTGGCCATAATGACCATCGTTATGTTTGGAGGAAAAAGGGGGCTGCTTGCAAGTCGAAGAACACCATCCCAACCGTGAAGCACGGGGGTGGCAGCATCATGCTGTGGGGGTGTTTTGCTGCAGGAGGGACTGGTGCACTTCACAAAATAGATGGCATCATGAGGAAGGAAAATTATGTGGATATATTGAAGCAACATCTCAAGACATCAGTCAGGAAGTTAAAGCTTGGTCGCAAATGGGTCTTCCAAATGGACAATGACCCCTAGCATACTTCCAATGTTGTGGCAAAATGGCTAAAGGACAATAAAGTCAAGGTATTGGAGTGGCCATCACAAAGCCCTGACCTCAATCCTATAGAAAATGTATGGGCAGAACTGAAAAAGCGTGTGCGAGCAAGGAGGCCTACAAACCTGACTCAGTTACACCAGCTCTGTCAGGAGGAATGGGCCAAAATTCACCCAACTTATTGTGGGAAGCTTGTAGAAGGCTACCCGAAACATTTGACCCAAGTTAAACAATTTAAAGGCAATGCTACCAAATACTAATTGAGTGTATGAAAACGTGTGACCCACTGGGAATGTGATGAAAGAAATTAAAGCTGAAATAAATAATTCTCTCTACTATTATTCTGACGTTTCACATTCTTAAAATAAAGTGGTGATCCTAACTGACCTAAGAAAGGGATTTTTTACTAGGCTTAAATGTCAGGAATTGTGAAAAACTGAGTTTAAATGTATTTGGCTAAGGTACAGTGGGGAGAACAAGTATTTGATACACTGACGATTTTGCAGGTTTTCCTACTTACAAAGCATGTAGAGGACTGTCATTTTTATCATAGGTACACTTCAACTGTGAGAGACGGAATCTAAAACAAAAATCCAGAAAATCACATTGTATGATTTTTAAGTAATTAATTTGCATTTTATTGCATGACATAAGTATTTGATCACCTACCAACCAGTAAGAATTCCGGCTCTCACAGACCTGTTAGTTTTTCTTTAAGAAGCCCTCCTGTTCTCCACTCATTACCTGTATTAACTGCACCTGTTTGAACTCGTTACCTGTATAAAAGACACCTGTCCACACACTCAATCAAACAGACTCCAACCTCTCCACAATGGCCAAGACCAGAGAGCTGTGTAAGGACATCAGGGATAAAATTGTAGACCTGCACAAGGCTGGGATGGGCTACAGGACAATAGGCAAGCAGCTTGGTGAGAAGGCAACAACTGTTGGCGCAATTATTAGAAAATGGAAGAAGTTCAAGATGACGGTCAATCACCCTCGGTCTGGGGCTCCATGCAAGATCTCACCTCGTGGGGCATCAATGATCATGAGGAAGGTGAGGGATCAGCCCAGAACTACACGGCAGGACCTGGTCAATGACCTGAAGAGAGCTGGGACCACAGTCTCAAAGAAAACCATTAGTAACACACTACGCCGTCATGGATTAAAATCCTGCAGCGCACACAAGGTCCCCCTGCTCAAGCCAGCGCATGTCCAGGCCCATCTGAAGTTTGCCAATGACCATCTGGATGATCCAGAGGAGGAATGGGAGAAGGTCATGTGGTCTGATGAGATAAAAATAGAGCTTTTTGGTCTAAACTCCACTCGCCGTGTTTGGAGGAAGAAGAAGGATGAGTACAACCCCAAGAACACCATCCCAACCGTGAAGCATGGAGATGGAAACATCATTATTTGGGGATGCTTTTCTGCAAAGGGGACAGGACGACTGCACCGTATTGAGGGGAGGATGGATGGGGCCATGTATCGCGAGATCTTGGCCAACAACCTCCTTCCCTCAGCAAGAGCATTGAAGATGGGTCATGGCTGGGTCTTCCAGCATGACAATGACCCGAAACACACAGCCAAGGCAACTAAGGAGTGGCTCCGTAAGAAGCATCTCAAGGTCCTGGAGTGGCCTAGCCAGTCTCCAGACCTGAACCCAATAGAAAATCTTTGGAGGGAGCTGAAAGTCCGTATTGCCCAGCGACAGCCCCAAAACCGTATGTAAACTTCCGACTTCAACTGTATCTATCATATTAAAATACAGTACCCTTTTCCTGCCCTCCACCCACACCTCTACGGAACATATC